AAGTAACAAAAAATTAACAAAGCAGTGAGCAAAAAGGCTGTTCAAACCCATAGGTCATGTACGGTCAAAAGACGTCGCATGTACAGGTCATCTTACCCATGGCTCATGTGAGGTCATCACATCCATAGGTCATGTAAGGTCAGGGATATCTTACCCATGGCTCATGTGAGGTGATCACATCCATAGGTCATGTAAGGTCAGGGATATCTTAACTCCTGTTAAGTTTATCTTAAAAATAATTTTCTTTTACCCAATAATTTAACTAAAATTATTCCAAACTCAACTTTGTAATACATGTAGAACTATAAAGACGGACGAGCCAGTGAGAACCGCCAGTAACATTGTTGTAAAGGAAATCTATAGACCGGTACTTCATCATACAAAACAACAGCACTGTACTATAATGTAGAATACATTCAATGAACTCCTTCTAAAATTATAAAAAAAAAATTAACAAAATTAACAGAAATAAATCATCATATGTTTGTGGGGAAAACATAAAATTAGTAAATGATCAACTGTGCATTCCTAAACAGCAGGTCAACAATACAGATTTGTTAACTTCTGTCAATACACAGACTTCTATATACTGTGGGGAAAAGGTACACACCTAGAAATAAACTTTGTCTACTACTGGCATTGTACAAACTACAGGTAAGGGTGGTGAAGGTAACATGTTACAACATTCCAGGTAAATGTCCCAGCAGTTAGATCATTGAAGTGTTACAACGTCACACATATTACAGCTTAAAACCATCTGGTGGATTAGCCAGTCAAAAATTTACAGACGTTCCCTTTTCAAGTTAGAGGTATGTTACCTTTGACAGGCAAAATCTTCAGACACATAAAGAAACTAATTAAGAATAAGGCTCTACTTAAGAAGTCACTTTTCATAACAAATAGGTTCTTACAGGTATCTTTGTAAAAAAAACAAAATTCAGGTAAAATGTTAGAGGTAATTTACAAAATACGTAAAACTTCATGCAAAGAGGTAATTATTTTAACACGGAAACATTTTTCCATATTAAATTCAATACAGAATGTTTATCTTTAATGAATAATGTAACTTGGACATTTACCATGTAAAAAATTACCACTCTTCTTGACACAGAAATTGATGAACAAGCAATACATCATACTGATAGAATATTCATGAAAATCTATCTCACAAACATTTGTTTAACAGGTAAATGTCACATTTAATCAGCAGGTAATTTTTAACAGGTAAACAATAGGGTTTTTGTTTTCAGGAAATCCTTTTACAGGTAAATGTGGCACTTTTTACAAATAAATTCTGCAGATAAATAAACCCTATTCTAATTTTGCATAAAAAATCTATTATTTTGAAAGTTACAAATGTAAGATATCCACGGCACTTAAAAGAACAGGTGATCTTTATATGGGTCAAAGTGGAATTTTACATGTAATCAATTTATATTCATAACCGATATGACAAGATTTATTCACATGTAATGGTTGTACAGGTAGAATCTTAAGGATAATGTGACCATTTTTCTCAGTTGTTTTAAGGGTAATTGTGACAGGGTTATTCAAATGTAGATTTTGTGCAAGTAAAATTATTTAAGGATAAATGTGATAATGTTTTCCACAGGTAATTGTTTTAAGGATAAATATGACCATTTTTTTCACAGGTAATTGTTGTACAGGTAAATGTAATAGATAACTAATGCCCACATAGTCTCCACATACACATGAGAAGCATGCAGGGTTAAAGAGTTGGGGGAAAAAGGGGGCGTGGCATCACCACCTGTGACAGACACGCCCACCTCCAACCCAACACCCTACACAAAGACTGAAAACATGTGATGAGCTTTAATATAGATTTGTGCAAATGTGCTGAATATATAAAGATATTTATGTAGAATATATATAACTATGATAAAGGATGAAATATAAGCATGGTGACAATGTGACACAGCACTAGCGAGCTATTTACATGCACTGTGTGGCAGATTGAGGTAGATTCCAATAGTTGCCGTATAATACAACCCACTAGGCGGCAACATCTCCTGAGTCATCATGGTAATTATCCAATTAAAAAGCTTTTCAAGAAAATCAAATACCAACAAAAAATAGTTTTAAAAATCTTACAAAGATACTCCTGAGGTAATAATAGTGGACCACGATCAAAGATGTGTGTGATTTGAACATTTCCAAGCTCCTTTAATCTGTCAGGCCCCTCAGTCCCCACCCCAGGGATCACATTCCCTACTACAAGACATAAAGTTTTGATCCCCAGGCTCACTGTCCACACCCCAGGGATCAGAGTCTCCACCCCCAGGGATCACAGCCCCCACTACAGAACACAAGGTGTCCATCCCCAGACTCACTGTTCACACCCTGCTAGGACAGTTCCCACTCCAAAGCTGAGAGTCCAGAAAACATTTTAGCATAACGGCTTCACTGTGATCTTGTCCATCAACCTTACGACCCCAAAGTCAACAGGGATCCTCCTAATTTTTCAGTGTGACCAAGCTTGTCTATCTATCGACCCTTTGACCCCCGAATAGAAAGGAATCCATGAGGAAGCTGTTTAATAATCTTAGAACTCATTTTCCTATGATTATGATGGCTAACTGTAACCTTGACCTTTGACCCCAAAATCAATAGGGTTTCTTCAAACTTAATGAATTCTCATTCTGCGATGTTTGATGAATGAAGCTAAAAGGAACACAAGATGCAGACTTAAAACCAGTAAGTATGTAAGTGGTTCCAGTATGTCCCCTTACTACTTCATATATAGTAGTGAGGCAGAAGTAACAAATGGAAACTTATCCTCCATACTGCAGTTATTCAGATTTTAGCAAGAAGTCTCTAGTACAGCAAAGTCTATCAAAAGGTACTATCGAAAAATAACTCCTTACACATAGCAAGCCAATCAGATTGATATGTCTCGCCTGTGCCCCGCTTTGACCATCAATGCATATATCAGAGAAACTAACTTAAACACAAAAACTTAATGTTGATGGAGATGCTGACAAAGTCAATGGACGATGACAGGTAGGCCGTATCCAGCATTTGATGCATGGGTTGATATGTACTACCTAAGATGCATCTATGGTCCTAGTTTGGTTGGTCTAGCACTTATACTTTCAGTGTAACTAACTTAAAAGCAAACACTTAATGGTGATGCCGCCGTTGCCGGAAAAGCAACACTGTAGTCTTGCTTCCATTTTGTGGCAGCGAGACAAAAATTAAATGTTTTTTTATTTTGTAGTAAAAACCAAATTTCAAATGTTTGTAAAATGGAATGAAAATTGATACAGATTTTCAATATATGATGATAAGCAGCATATGACATACAGAATCTTAGTGCTCCATCCCTCGGATAGTGCTCCATTCCTTGAATACTCTCCGGTATACAAAGGGGTGCTTCTATTTCTCACGCTGTGCTGCCTGCTCGACTTATTCTCGTTTCCAATACATTATTCCTGAAGCCATCCGTACACCTGACAGGGAGGAGCTTGGAAATGCTACAGTGATCTCCCCTGAATTGTATTTCATTATTTTCAATAGATCACCATTCTTTTTAATGAAACATGAAGATGAGAACATATATATATTTTTTTTTTATATATTTTTTTTTCACGATTATATATCACCCGTGTCGTGAACAATCATATAACACATACATAGCATAAGAAAACCTAAACTCCTGACAATAGTAACGAAGCTCGGTGTATATATGGGACAGTGGGGTTGAATGGTTTCTTTATGTAGACCTCCGAGCTACCTCACAGGGGAGCTAACTCTGTCAGCCTTGTGATAATGATGAAGATACGGAACACAATAGATGGATAATCACCGGGCAAAAGATAAAAAAAAAAAAAAAAAAATCAGTGTCGTCATAGCCAGGAATATTTCCCACCAACCGATGTTCCTTTGTTATAACGTTTATATTTCAAATTAAAAAAAGTGTTTGTTTTGTTTTCATATAAAAAAAAACATGAGTGAAGAAAAATGTATTCTATGACTCACCGGTTAATTCATTGGAATATGTTGAAGGTTTTGAGGTTTTGATGGAAGATCAATGAGGCATACAACAATACTTGTTCATTGGAAAGTGTATATAAAAATAACATCGACCCAGGCCCCAAGATCATCAGTGTCAGCACTGATCTGTACTCTAAGTGTGGAGATTCGTTCTTGGAACGAGGGGAGATTCACTTTCAGAATACTTAAAGCTCTCTGAAAATCTCAGCAGAGAAAAGTTCTACGTCATCCATTGGTGCAGTCAACTACCAATGAAAAGCTGTTTTGATTTATTTGATTATATTCGTGAGAAATCAATTTTCGAGTACAAGATCATGCTGCACTTGCTGTTATCTCGGGGCCGGCATTTAACAGATCTGCACAGGCCCAGATCCTAAACATAGGACCAAGCACATTATTACGGGGCGGGCATTTAACAGATCTGCACAGGCCCAGATCCTAAACATAGGACCAAGCACATTATTATGCTTATAATACAACATACAGTTCATTGCAGTTAATTCGAATATTGAAAATAGGACAATATATCAGTGAGATGAGATTTGTTTAAGATGCGTTTCACCCCTGAAATTTCATAATGAACTATTCCAACCTTTGAATTGGAAGAGTTAAAATGCATCTCCAGGGGTGAATGAGTTAAGATGCATACGTTACACACTATACCGCAGTACATGGATGTTTGAACACAAAGCTGGTAGGCTTCAAGGTCTACACAATGCTAATTATAACAAAACATAATAAAAAAATCTTTTAAAAAACTGGTGAAAAAGGTTTTGTGGATATTGGAAGCTATTTAAAAATGAATGAAATAGTGAACCGTAGATTGGTGAACTCGGTTTCTTATAGTGACTGGTTTGTACTTTATCATGGGGCATATCTTTGGTATTATTTCATAAATTGTGATATCACTAAATCATTTTTATTGTATAATTAATTGTTTAATAACATAAAATCAAATGACATTTTTTTTTGACATTCATAAATTTTATTTATGATATCATTGAATGAATTTAAAATATCATAAAAACTAAATTTTAATAATCAATAAATGATTTTGCAATGTCATGAAATCTAAATTTTATTTATTTTTAAATTTTATATCAATAGTTCAAAGGCATGATATCATTAAAATATCCAGATTCATATCATGTATGATACCAGAAAATTGGTGATATAATAGCTCTATTTATTGATATGAAATACCTTTATTTATACATCAATATAAAATACCTTTATATGAAAATCATTAAAATGAGCTTGTGATATACATATTATTAATGAAATCAAATTTTGTGAATAAATACCAGAGCGACACCAAATATCGTACGATGATGAACCTTGTTTCTACTAGGGCTGGGTACTTGTAACACTGAAAACTCGAGACATAACAAATTTTGTTTTTTTCAAGTAAATAAATATTTTTGTTACTTTCATAGACAAGTTTTATGAAGCATGATGGTAATAGCACTGACAGAAATCAAAGTGAAATGATTAATTTGTGAAGCTAATGCCGAGACCAATATGCGACAATAAATCTCTGATTGATCATTTGGTCTATCATCACATTCTTTTACCTTTTAAAATGACATGTAAAAGATCTGAAATTTAGTGTACAAAATTGAACCAGATCCATGTCTGATGATAAAAAACACCTACAGACTAAGTACTTTTAGTAACTCAATGCAGCCAAAGTTGTAAAACACAGAAGCTTTCAAATACAACATTTAGACGCGTACAAAGTCTTGAAAATGACGATATTTGTGTCTCTATTCTCTGGTCCGTAGTCTCCATCCAGCCCTCGTAAAAACTGGATACATATGTTTTATGTTTTGACGAAAAAAAGATTGTGTTTATGGCACATTGTCTATGAAGAACACATAGGTAAAAGCACCAAACGTAGCAGTACACCAACCGTGACGGAGATGGAGATACAAATTAAAATGTCGGTACAGAGAAACGTACCAGTTCACCAACCGTGACGGAGGAGATAAAAATAAAAGTGTCGGTAGAGAGAAACGTACTGACTGATAACATAAAAAGGTTGAGGTAAAAAATCAGAAAAAAATATACACTTGCGGTAGTATATATAGTAACAGGAACAAAGCCTAGAGCAGTTAAAATCAATCATTGAGTATAATTTTGTGCAGCCCATTGTAGGGTTTCAGTATCAAGAATCCTGTCATCATTGCAAGTTCTAATAAGTAAAAGGGATTTCCAACCCCTAATAAACAATTCATCTTGGTGCTCAAAGTTAGCAATGAGCATAATCATCAAAAAGAGCACAAAATGTCTAGAAAAGTTTAACCTCCTATACCTGTTAATGTATTACAAGATTAATACATTACATTTATCCACAAAATATTAACTCACGATTATAATTGTTGAAAATATGTAAGGTCAAACCGAAACATAATAAGGGGAGAAGGATGATTACAAAAATATGAATCCCTCCCAAAGCACTGGGTCGGAAATAGCAAAAAAAATATAATATTCATTCAACAGTTTATATATACAACACTCCATATTGAATATATATCAGTCTCAAGTTAAATTTTTTCTGTAGTTAACGCTAAGTCTACAGTAATTTTTTTCTGTAGTTAACGCTAAGTCTACAGTAATTTTTTTCTGTAGTTAACGCTAAGTCTACAGTAAATTTGTGAACCGGTATTAAGGACTTCCATTCCTGCATATCATTCCAATATATCAACAATAGACATAAAAATAACCAACCATAGTATACATGGATAAATGTGAGGGGACACTGTCCTCCTCCTCCGTGTCATCAGAACCGGGTCATCAGAACCGTGTCATCAGAACAGTGTCATCAGAACCATGTCATCAGAACCGGGTCATTAGAACCGGGTCAACAGAACCGTGTCATCAGAACCATGTCATCAGAACCGGGTCATCAGAACCGGGTCAACAGAACCGTATCATCAGAACCGGGTCAACAAGTGTTGTACTCGTGATAGCATTAAAATATTCCTCTTGTCATGGTTACAAAGAAAGAGTTGTTCCCCTTTTGACAGAGGGACAAGGGTAAGTTTACCGGGATTCATCATATATGGCAGTGAATGTTGATTCCGATATACATATATATATATCTATACGTTCACATACATCAACAAATTATATTTATCAGGAAACATGAAATGAGATAAAAACTCCAGTATATTGTCCGTCGACAATTGGGGGACATTAACCTTTGTCACCCCACGTCAAATCGACAGAGAACATGATAATACCCGCTATATAATCATCAAGAGGTAGCATCGGCCTCCCTGTGTACCCCTTGAGGGCCCCCTTAACAGCAGACAACCTTTGGGGAGCCTCATGTGTACATAGCACTAAATGTGTTGCCAGCCTGGTCCGTTATATGTCCAGGTTGTCCCTTCCGTCTCCACCAGATCCTGCAAAAGACAATCATACATTACTAACTATTCCCAGTGCCAGGTATAAAGTCTGTGATCTGGTTGCTTAGCATCAATTACAAAACCACATCCCATTATAGAAAAGGAAGACTAGGAATACGTCTGCCATGGAGTCAAATGACTTATAGTACAGTACTATGGTTTCCATGAAGACAATAATGGGAGCACTTCAGTTGTTTCAGTGGAATTAGAAAACAACAATTGTTGTAGAAGCCATTGGGACATAGTACTGGGTACAATTCTCGTGGTGGATATTAGAGTCCAACAGGGTAATATACAATAGTTTTAACAACTAACTGAGGCAAGGTCTAATAGTACTATTGTTTCCTTATAGACTGCATTAGGTCTTATAGTATAACTGCTCATATAAGTTCTGAAAATTGTTCCAGTGGAGGCTGATGTTGTACAACTGTTCACAATTCAGACTGATGATCAAGAGTACAACTGTTCCCATGGAGACTGATGATCTAGAGTATAACTGTACCCATGGAAACTAATGATCTAGAATATAACTGTACCCATGGAGACTGATGATCTAGAGTATAACTGTACCCATGGAGACCGATGATCTAGAGTATAACTGTTCCACTTCAGACTGATGATCAAGAGTATAACTGTACCCATGGAGACTGATGATCTAGAGTATAACTGTACCCATGGAAACTAATGATCTAGAGTATAACTGTACCCATGGAAACTAATGATCTAGAGTATAACTGTACCCATGGAGACTGATGATCTAGAGTATAACTGTACCCATGGAGACTGATGATCTAGAGTATAACTGTACCCATGGAAACTAATGATCTAGAGTATAACTGTACCCATGGAGACCGATGATCTAGAGTATAACTGTACCCATGGAGACTGATGATCTAGAGTATAACTGTACTCATGGAGACCGATGATCTAGAGTATAACTGTACTCATGGAGACTAATGATCTAGAGTATAACTGCACCCATGGAGACTGATGATCTAGAGTACAACTGTTCCCATCAAGATTGCTGTTTAAGAGTATTACTTTCATGGAGGCTGATGATCAAGAGTACTGTATTACCATCCAAATGAAATGAAGGCAGGCAAATAGTATGGTTTTGTTGTCCGACAAGGCTTCACATAACTATATATATGGTTTCCATGAAGTTGAGGCTTCACGTAACTATATATATGGTTACCATGGAGTTGAGGCTTCACGTTACTATATATATGGTTACCATGAAGTTGAGGCTTCACGTTACTATATATGGTTACCATGGAGTTGAAATTATAGCAGTATCATTGTACTTCCTTTAAGTTTATAACCAGAAACCTCCAATATCAAGTTTCATTTTTTACCTTCCCATTATGGGCTTGTTTTGAAGTATAATCTTACCATTAATTTATTATACAGGGAAACAATCTTTTATAGACAGAAACAAAAACATTCTGTATGGATAATGACTGCTCGTTATTTTTTATGTATTTTATTGATTCTTTTCATAAAGGTTAGCAACATTTGCTCTGTCATTATAGATGTTCTCTAAGTTCGAAATGACGGGTAAAAAAGGGCGAGATATTATCCTGTTATGAGGGAAGAACCAATATTCGAGCCACATTGTCTGGGGAAGATGTGACAAGTTGCCTGAGGTGTCAAACAAGCCTGTCTGGTGGTACCAACGACACAGACAAAGCACATTCAGTCTGGTGGTCAGTCTCCGAGGTGGGCTTACAGGTTGTCATGGCAACCTGTGTCTGATCTATCACCACACATCAGGAAAGTCTGTCTCCGTAATATCTAGTTACAATCATCAGTAACAATGACGTAGTACAGGCAGGTGGAACATCTTGCTATAATCCACGACGCGACTATAAGGGGAATGTCCTGATCCCCTGATGTGACTGTAGTAAGGGAAATGTCTCCGTGTATCCCCTGATGTGACTGTGTTGGGATGTCTCCCTAGAATCGTAGATGTGACGTGGACATGTTTCGGTTTATCAATCCTAAATGTGACTGTACGGCCATATTCGAAACATTCCAAGATGTGACAAATTGAAAATGTCTTGGAGTAATCCAAAATGTGATAAATGGGGAACATCTTGGTGAATCCTGATATCTAGGTATAGGGGTTGGAAGGGGCGGAACACCATGAGTGAATCCTGATATCGAGGTATAGGGGCGGAACCCCATGAGTGAATCCTGATATCTAGGTACAGGGGTTGGAAGGGGCGGAACACCATGAGTGAATCCTGATAGCTAGGTATAGGGGTGGGCAGGGGCGGAACACCATGAGTGAATCCTTATATCTAGGTATAGGGGTAGGGCAGGGGCGGAACACCATGATCAAATTTCAGTAATATCTGTGTACTGTAAACTGTGACCTTTACACCCACTCACCTCTGACATATCTGACCTTTAACCTTAAGGTATAGGGGCGGAACACCATGAGTGAATCCTTATATCTAGGTATAGGGGTAGGGCAGGGGCGTAACACCATGATCAAATTTCAGTAATATCTGTGTACTGTAAACTGTGACCTTTACACCCACTCACCTCTGACATATCTGACCTTTAACCTTAAGGTATAGGGGCGGAACACCATGAGTGAATCCTGATACCTAGGTATAGGGGCGGGCAGGGGCAGAACGCCATGAGTGAATCCTGATATCTAGGTATAGGGGCTGGAAGGGGCGGAACACCATGAGTGAATCCTTATATCTAGGTATAGGGGTAGGGCAGGGGTGGAACACCATGATCAAATTTCAGTAATATCTCTGAACTGTAAACTGTGACCTTTACACCCACTCACCTCTGACATATCTGACCTTTAACCTTAAGGTATAGGGGCGGAACACCATGAGTGAATCCTTATATCTAGGTATAGGGGTAGGGCAGGGGTGGAACACCATGATCAAATTTCAGTAATATCTCTGAACTGTAAACTGTGACCTTTACACCCACTCACCTCTGACATATCTGACCTTTAACCTTAAGGTATAGGGGCGGAACACCATGAGTGAATCCTGATACCTAGGTATAGGGGCGGGCAGGGGCAGAACTCCATGAGTGAATCCTGATATCTAGGTACAGGGGTTGGAAGGGGCGGAACACCATGAGTGAATCCTGATACCTAGGTATAGGGGCGGGCAGGGGCAGAACGCCATGAGTGAATCCTGATATCTAGGTATAGGGGCAGAACACCATGAGTGAATCCGGATATCTAGGTATAGGGGCGGGCAGGGGCGGAACACCATGAGTGAATCCTGATATCTAGGTATAGGGGTAGGGCAGGGGCGGAACACCATGATCAAATTTCAGTAATATCTCTGTACTGTAAACTGTGACCTTTACACCCACTCACCTCTGACATATCTGACCTTTAACCTTAAGTTTTGTTGTAATGTATCATTTTAACTTACTTTTAATACATGACCTTTACATACAACTTTCACACAGTTAGCTGTAATGTATAAATTTCGCACTTAAAAATGATCTACGAATAATTTCTTCTTAGATGTAATTATGACATATCCCTTTAGTTACAATGTATGGCCTTTGACCTTTGGTAATATAAACCCCTTTCCTGACCTGTGCACTGACCCGCTCTATCAGAAAAACACTGCGGGTAACCCTTTGACATGTGACCTTTCCTTCTAACTGCGATGTATATAGCTTCTGACTTCAGTTTGCGAGTGGTCAGTAAGAAGCCCTGCGAGATGGAAGACCCTCCCCCCCTCTCTCCGGACTGTCTACTGACCCCATCCTTCAGAACGACACAGCTAGACTGGGGCCCTCTGAGAGGCGCTAACTACCTCACTCTCACTCTGTCTGGTGTTGGCCAGCTCAGAGACCATACACGACCAAATTTATGTGACTGCATGGCTATATGTATCTCCAATATCACGGAGACTCCACTGTCTGGCCATATTAATTAGGCTATTGATTGGGGGTCAGGTCAGTAGGGGCTTTGGCCAGTGCTGATCAATACGGGCAGACACGCCGTGGGCCTCACCACCATCGGTCAGCACGATGGTCAATATCGCACACCCTACACCATACCACCATCTTAATTAGCTCATTATTTATTTAATGTTTAACTATATATACACCTCTCCTTAGAATATGGATCCCTTCATTTAAAATAGTACAAACATGTTTTTTTTCTATACCTAATAAACCAGAGCAATACACATCTCTCAAAAAACTGGACAATTTTCATACTTAAAAATGATACGATATATAATTTTTTCTTTTTATACACACATATATATATCAAACAACTAAAAGTACTCCTCTGCTAATAACCTACGACGCTTCACCATATACACTTGTAGACCTATTAGATTTTTTGAGTATAGTATATAACAGTATTATGTAATTATAAGCTTCTGCTAAGAATCTAGATCACTTCAGCATTAAAAGAGAGTGTTAGTTCAATCTTTGCTTTGATGTACACCAAAATCTGTTAGGAATTTTGCTTGCTTCTTCCTTTAAGATAATATATATTTTATATAGATCTATATATATACATATACAAAGTAATATATTTTATATAGATCTATAGATATACATATACATAATGTTTTGCTTGTTTCACCCTTTAAAATGATATGTTATATTTTATATCTATATCAAGTAAAGACTTAACTTCCTGGTAACATACCGCTATTTAAGCGCCTAGACCATTTCACCATTGGAAATTATAGATATTTACAATATAAACATGGATATATTTGTCTGTTTAGAATCTACATCACTTCTTACATTGTACATCCTCAGACAAGAAAATACTTGAATTGAATTAGCATTTTGCTTGAGGTTTTTTTTCCGTTTGTGAAAGCAATTTCTCCAAAGTTTTAAAATTTGATTACAGTTCTTCCTGTCCTCTAATTATCACCCCTGCTTTAGAGTACACAAGAGGTCTACACGACCTGTATTGTTCACCTGGATATTTAAGCAATCAAGTTAAACATTCCAGGGGTTTATTAGGGTATTTTTTAAGGTCCGTCTCAAGCACCCATTCCCAACTGAAAAAGTGTGCAATTTTTCCCAATTTGCCCCTTTAAAATTACCAATTCGTAAATCTAAACAAACAAATGCATATATATAAATTCCCGTTGATTGATGGAGTTCTTAAAATGCAGCATATATAGGAAGGACAGAATGAAAATATTGTCGTAAAGGCAGGCTTAGATAAAAGTTAAACAATCTAACTTCATGTATTCAGAGTTGTTATAATATTTATCCAAATTTCCCAAAAAGGCTATCATGTCGATGATTTTCCCCAAAACTCCCTGATAAACCCCCTGCATCCTTATTAAAAATTACATTCTCCCAACCTGCTCCCTACATCTCATAACTTAGGAAAACAACACCCTTCCCTTATATTGAATTGGATTCTCTGCTTCAAAATTGACTAATAAAATTCCACAAGGGCGGGCCAAATATTGACAGCTTGATTGTGTTTGTTCTGTTCGTGCGTAGCCATTGTAGGTGAGCTAAAAGAGGTAGGGGTCACCATCATTTCAATGACACAACCCAGGAACCAAGCCCCTAGGGGCGAGGTAAGACCCAAGGATCAATCTTTGTAAAATATGTGTATTTGTCTCATGCCCAGCAATTGGTATATGTGATTATAGGGTAGGGATCTTGAACATTTCAATATCATGACATAGTGACTCAGTGACTAAGGGTGGGGCCAGACCCGGCACACATCCTGGTAGGATGATTATGTTAATTCCTTCTTGCCCAGCAAACATGTTAATGGCTTAAAAGGGAGGATCTCAACCATTTTCATGCACTTTTGGCCTCCTACTTCAGCTCCTCAGGGCATCAGCCCCTCTTTCTGTATCTTTTCGAACCTTCACCATCTGAGGATGTCTCCAACCCAATAAGTTATTCATTTAAATCAATATAGCAGAATTCATTCTTTTAGCCATGGGCCTTAACCCCTTCATTGTACATTTTTGAAATAATCACCATCCTGAGAATGCTTCCGACCAAATACGGTTGATGTCTATCATAAAAAGTTCCAAGAATACTCAAAACTTCTATTTGGGTATCCTCCCTCTGCCTCAAGAGGCAATGCAACCAAGCAATACTTCAAAAAAAACAACAATTTAAGGCAAAATTGAGGAATAAACAACAGGCTGACGTTTGTTCATGGTTTAAGCATATTTTGTGCCAGCTGAGCTAAACACTAGTCCTCATGTAGAGTTAAGGTGATGAGTGAGGTAGTTCTTGATGTGATGATAGTAGGGGGTGGGGTATCAGCACTCACAGCAAGGGACTGTTTAATAGGTTAGTTAGTTATCCATGCTGGTAGTGGGGGATGGTGTTGAGGGACAGTGTGTGGGTACTTAAGGCAGCAACTTTAAGTTAGGTGTTAGGTAGATCTTCTGGAATATTTTGTTCTTACAGTGAGGAACTTGAAGTGCTAGTAGTTGGGGATGGTTTGTGGGTACTTACATTAGTATTTTTCCTTGAACCGTTGGTCCTTTGATTAGGAGAGGTAGTTTAACATTGAATGGTTGGTAGTTGGGGATGATATGGGGCTACTTACAGCGAGGGCCTTTTGGTTTGGTAAGGAGCTTTCCCCTTGGAACAGTTGGTACTTACAGCGAGGGACTTTTGATTAGGCGGGGTAGCTTTCCTTGAACCTTTGGTACTTACAGCAAGGGATTTTTGATTAGGTGAGGTAGCTTTCCTTGAACCTTCGGTACTTACAGCAAGGGATTTTTGATTAGGTGAGGTAGCTTTCCTCGAACCTTCGGTACTTACAGCGAGGGAGTTTTGATTAAGTGAGGTAGCTTTCCTTGAACCGTTGGTACTTGCAGCGAGGGAGTTTTGATGAGGTTAGTTGGTACTTACAGTGAGGGACTTTTGATTAGGTTAGTTGGTACTTACAGCGAGGGACTTTTGATTAGGTGAGGTAGCTTTCCTTGAACCTTCGGTACTTACAGCAAGGGATTTTTGATAAGATGAGGTAGCTTTCCTTGAACCTTCGGTACTTACAGCGAGGGACTTTTGATTAGGTGAGGTAGCTTTCCTTGAACCTTCGGTACTTACAGCGAGGGATTTTTGATTAGGTGAGGTAGCTTTCCTTGAACCTTCGGTACTTACAGCGAGGGAGTTTTGATTAAGTGAGGTAGCTTTCCTTGAACCGTTGGTACTTGCAGCGAGGGAGTTTTGATGAGGTTAGTTGGTACTTACAGTGAGGGACTTTTGATTAGGTTAGTTGGTACTTACAGCGAAGGACTTTTGGTTAGGTTAGTTGGTACTTACAGCGAGGGACTTTTGATTAGGTTAGTTGGTACTTACAGTGAGGGACTTTTGATTAGGTTAGTTGGTACTTAGAGTGAGGGACTTTTGATTAGGTTAGTTGGTACTTACAGTAATGGACTTTTGATTAGGTTAGTTGGTACTTACAGTGAGGGACTTTTGATGAGGTTAGTCGATACTTACAGCGAGGGACTTTTGATTAGGCGAGGTAGGTTTCCTTGAACCGTTGGTACTTACAGCAAGGGACTTTTAATAAGGTTAGATGGTACTTACAGCGAGGGACTTTTGATTAGCCGAGGTAGTACTTACAGTGAGCGACTTTTGAGGAGGTTAGTTGGTACTTACAGCGAGGGACTTTTGATTAGGTTAGTTGGTACTTACAGCGAGAGACTTTTGATGAGGTTAGTTGATACTTATAGTGAGGGACTTTTGATTACACGAGGTAGTTTTCCTTGAACGGTTGGTACTTACAGCGAGGGACTTTTGATTAGGCGAGGTAGTTTTCCTTGAACGGTTGGTACTTACAGTGAGGGACTTTTGATTCGGTTAGTTGGTACTTACAGTGAGGGACTTTTGATTAGGCGAGGTAGTTTTCCTTGAACGGTTGGTAGTTCGGGATGGTGTGTGGATACTTGACGTGCCATACAATGTGGAACATGAACTCGATGCGATCTTGGCAGCACTTATTACAGCTGGGACACCTGAAGGGGTCGTGGTCGAGGGGGTGCAGAGACTGGTGGAGGTGGAACATGGTAAAGTCCTGGAAGAACAGGTTACAATGTGGACAGTGATGTATGCCGGAGTCTACAGTCGGTGTCTCCGAAGTTGTCGTCACATCGCGCTTCTCTTCGCTCTCCGTCTCCGACATCTGTGGAGACTTGGATATGAAGGAGGCGTTGCCACCTTTCCAGTCGCCATCGTCAGAGTCGCCACTGCTGATGGACTTGTTCATACTGAGGTCTATGACGCGGTCAACCCGGTCTGAGGTGGATGTCTGACCCCCATAGATTGAGGAGATGGGAGGAAGGGGTACAGACTGAGGTAGAGAGGTCAGTCCTGGCAGGCTGTAAGGAAAATAGCTACATTTATTGGTCAAGGTCACAAATGGTTTCCATGACAACATGAACAGTAAGTTACAATATTGACAAAAGCAACAATTTGTTTTTTTTCATTTTCAAATCAATATTATATGAAAGTAAAACTGTTCTGAACAGGAGAAAATATCCTTATGTTACTTGATAACCATTTTGTTTAAGTTTAGTTGAAAAGTGTTTAATATTTTTTGAGATATGCTCAAGAATCAATCTCAGAATAATGGATGACAACCATTGAATACATACATCCCCTTTAAATCTAACAAAAAAACAGATAATATTTTCATCATATTCATGTGTACACAATTTGTCACTGGTTTAGCCAGGGTTTTTTTGCAGTGTTTTCCAAGATTTGGTTAGTAATAGCTCAGAAGATGCCATTTAAAAGTGTTACTGTTTACCGAGGGTGTACAGACACACAATTCTTTATGTTTTTAATTCTGAACATGTGTAATCTCCCCATGATTTTTTTTAAAAAGTTAAAAATTATGGAAAAGATTAATGTCCCTATTATTGCAATGAAGAAAGCAGATCAATATACCAATTTCATTATCCCATTCATCCCTCAAGACACATTTGAACTCTTCAAATTCAAAGTTTGGAATAGTTCATTATGAAATTTCAGGGTTGAATGAGTTAAATTAGTACATTAGAAGAAACTTAAATTGATTTGCTGCCCCAATGGCAACAGCTGGGATCTCTTTCCTTCTCTCTCACTACCCTTCTCTTTCCTTTTCTCACTACCCTTCTCTTTCCTTTTCTCAATACCCTTCTCTGTCCTTTTCTCACTACCCTTCTCTTTCCTTTCAGATGCGTTTCCAAAGGTGGCCGCCCTCATATGTCTTACGCTGTTGCGAGGACATTAATTCCTAGACGTATTCGAAGACAAATCAGAAGATGCAATAGTGCAAACCAGCAATTTTATTGTCGGAACGTTTTAATTGATTTTTTTTATATTGACTGACTTTACACAATACAGATTAAAACCTACCTTGGACAGGATTGGTGAGGAGATACCAGTCCGTTCTTGTGAGGACTGGCTCCGTCCGAGGTGTGGCTACGCTGACTGCTGAGGTATGTGGATGAGGATAGCGCGGGAGGTGAATGGATCACACTGCTGATTGACGTCAAAGAGATCTGAAAAAAACAATGAAACAGGCATACAAATGGGGAATGAGAGGAAATCAAATTAAACAAGAATTCCACAGGAGTGGATGTGTCGCCTACTCAGTTGCACCAAAAACTTGTTTGGACGACACAATCAACGCTGCCGACAAAGTGATACCTATATGTCGCCTCGCGTTGCAGACGACATAAAAGAGAGGAACACACACACCAAGTTCTGATTTTTTAAACGTTTCAGAAAAACTTTGAAAGCCATGTGAGAAATAGGAAAAAGAGAGGATATTCTCTGAAAAATAGGGAGGAACCAAATCCCTAAATGTAATTACTATACACCAATAATATTTTGCATGCTTTTTTTTATATACTGTCCTTTGAACAATATGAACAATTCTTAGATGTAAGTGCCTGCTGACACTACAGGGAAATCTATATATCACAGCTGCTACTCATGATCATCAAATAATTGTTAAGATCTCAACTGCCAATTTTCCAGCCCCACAACATTTAGTGGTCAGCAATTATGGAATTAATGATGGATAGACGGATGATGGACAGATGGTTAATGGATAGACGGATGACGGACAACACAACACAACACTTTGACATCTGTCGGCTGGTATTCTATAACTTACCTTGCCATATTCGTTAGACATCTGTCGCTGAAGAGCCCTAAGTTCCGAGTCAGAAGAGTTTTGATTGGATTGTGGGCGACTATTCTGGCCATCTGATTGGTGGGCCTCATCGCCAGGAGTTGATGGGGGTGTGACCTGCTCCAGCTTGATCGGACTGGGAGTTTTGTGTGCGCGATATATACTGTCTGTTGAGGTAGAGACGGCCAGGTCACACTGGTCGCGTTTTGGGGCGGGCAGCATAGCAGAGTCCGACGGGGGACCCATATAGTGACCTTGAGTAACAGCTGCAGCACTGTGCATTATCGTTTCGTAGGTGAGTGCGTGCTGCAGTAGCGCACGCTGTTGCATGGCAAATGCTTGGTACGCAGCCATGTTCACCTGTCCCGTGCTGCTCGCCGCACGACCCCCTGATCGGTAGTTAACGAGTTTGCCCCGCATGTGTACATTTCTCTCATGACGTCGCAAGTCATTGGATTGTGTGAAACACCTGAAACACATCATGTTATGAAAGTTTTTCTCTTTCTTCAAAAGAATTCATGTAAACACTCTAAAACATATACCTTCATGTTCATACAATACAGGAAATCCACGTAGAAAACACTTTGTAGAGGAAAGTTTTTGCCACAGTTGAACTTTTACCTTTATTGCCCTCAAGAATGAGTGCAGATTTATTATGACAGCAAATATTTCTGCAGAATCAATTATTTTTGTGGGGCCCAAAGCTTGTGGTTTCCCGAAAAAAATCAACATTTCATGAATTGGTGCATTACGAGTACCCAGTCAATGGGCGAATATATATATGTCAAACTAGTAATTAATTTGCGGACCTATCAATTCATGGATGTACCAACAAAATCAACAAAATTTAAACCCCACGAAAATATTTGATCACACTGTAGTACACATCATACTATACACAGAAATATCTTTATGTTACAAAGTAATATATATTGGGTGAAGATTTAAAAGGACAGAAGTTTCCCGGTGTACAGGACCACATTAAAGTGGACACTTTGTCTTATCATCAATCTTGGGGAAACTCCAAACTAGAGATCACAAATATATTTCTTGACATATCATTTTCATTACTAATAACTTATTTTTTGTGAATTCAAACATTTATGAATAAAATTGATAAGGTCAAAGATCGAAGATATAGCATAACACCTTAACGGTTGAGTGAAGAGAAACAGGGGATTGAGTGTTGGGACCTTCTGAAGGGTGGAGGCATTTTGTATAACGAACGGGCCTTGCTTCTACTTCAGAACAGTGAGAAATTCAACTTATAAAAGTTCAATTCGTGAATAGAATATTAGTAGTGTAAGATAAGGGTGGAAATCCAGACTTTGCTGTAAGTTCGACACATCGAGAAATTTGAATCCTCGAAATTTGATTTATGGAAATTTGACTAGTTTTTTTACCTATGACAAATCTTGCACTTGTAGGGTCTTTCCCCGGTGTGGACACGTTCATGGACTTTCAAATTAGACGACCACAGGAAAGACTTTCCGCATGTGGTGCATACGTATGGTCGGTCAGCACGATGTAATTGTTCATGTTTACGTAGTGTGGCTACTTCTCGAAACTGTCTTGAACAAACCTCACATTTGTGTGGACGTAAGTTTGATGATGCAGGTAAACGCACCATGTTTTTCGGCCTCCCATCCTCATCCATATCTGTAATGGTAGAAAGAGAAGATGTTACAACAATAACACATTGTAAAGGACAACACTGTCAGTGATTTTTCAACCTTAATTTTACATCAGACTGTTCCTACATGAAATGGGGGAAAATTAGCATTATTTTTTACCGAAATTGGGAAGATATTCCTGATTTTTCTTCATTTGGGAAAAATAAAGCACTTCATTTTAAGCCAGGGGAAGTAGCCTGTATTCAGTTGTAAAACTACGGCAAACAGACCCACTGACTGTAACATATACCAACATCACATCAGGCAATTAAACATGGTTAGATTTTATCACACCAACATTATATGAGAAGCAACATGGAGACATCAGCAATTAGACTTTACTAGTGTTATTCTGATTAATCGACTTAACCATCTATTGGTTAGTCAGACCAATACACTAAACTGATTTATTGACTACAGAAGTCACGATCGATTTTAGTCGGTATAATTGTGTGTAGACATTACGTAGATCTTGTCAGTAGAGTGATTCATGATTTCAAGCCTACCTCCCAGCTTGATATTAAATGATAAGAATTAAGCAGAAGTCTCCCGATATGTTTTTAATTTCAGCATCTGTGTCTTCATTGTCAGTCACATACTTTTACCCTCAAACCCACTGATGATCATAACCACTTAAGACTATAAGTAACAGATTCAGTGTCTGAAAGGAGCTAATTCTTACAACTTAAGTCTCCTTATTTATTTACTTGAGCAAGCAATTTTAAAATCATTAATATTTATTAACAAGGCTTTGCGGACAAAAGGAATACCCTCGCGAAACATGAACTCTTTAATGCATCACGGACGATAGGAATACCCTCGCGAAACATGAACTCTTTATTAATGCATCGTGGCCGATAGGAATACCCTCGCGAAATGTGAACTCATACAAGATATCATGTGAGTGATGTTTCGTGACAATCGGCTTAGAAATGTAGTCTTTAGAGCAATTTGTATTAAATTCTATTTATAGAACTGGTGACCTCGTTTTTTGACCGCATAAGGTTGTAAGGTGAACTGGTATAAGAGGGGATGTATATCGACATCTGTGTGAAGTTTCCTGACAATTAACACCAGTTACATCACTAAAGTATCCTCAGCAACAAAACCAGCAGGGACAGCGTTTCTCTCCAAGGAACAAGTCACCTGAGCCACATCTATTGTTGATTTACAAATCCCACTAGCTTTATGTGTTTTCTTTTTCATCTACTTTTATAAGGTTAACAAAACATATATAAGGATTATTTTTAAAAGTATAGAAAGGTTGTATATGGTATTTCTGAAAGTTAAAAACCAATCAGACAACAGTATTTTTTACATCAAAACTTCTCGGATAACTGACAGCAGTATTTTCTATTACAAATGATTTTAATCCTTGGTTTTAATGTCTTATGTTCACATATCATATCCCCTTTTGTGTATACACATACAGAAAACCATTCATGTCTATTGTTTGAAAGGCTTGCTTATCCTTCAGTCATAAAACAAGGTATACATATATTTCAGAGTTTCCTTTTTAACTCATTCACCCCTGAAGACACATTCGAACTCTTCCAATTCAAAGGTTTGAATAGTTCATTATGAAGTTTCAGGGGTGAATGAGTTAATAATTAACGATGAGCGGCAAAGTACCAATACCACTTATCTATGAGAAGCACATGTAAACTAAAACATTAATGGATTTGACAGTGAAGCGTTTGAATTATGCATGATATTCATCAGAAATTGTAACACATACATTAGTTAATGTACTTTGACGTTTACCGACATAAGTTAATGTACTTTGATGTTTACCGACATAAGTTAATGTACTTAGATGTTTACCCACTTAGGAAATAATTGTGGATTCTGTAAAAATGTAAAAGATGAAAAAGAAATGCAACAGCCAGATTGGGGTTCGAACCTAGGACCCACCAAATTCTAGAATAATGCACTACCAATTGAGCTACCTGGTTGCCAGCGATTGACCCAGTCCAGTTCCACCACATTCCTCCACTTTTTTCCAAGTTTTTGCCGCAAAAGACAACACTATTTACAACCAAGATTGGGGGGTATCCCCTTAATTGCCAAGCAATTCACCCAGTGTTTGAAACAAGGGTTGGCAAGCTTGCCAATTTTGTAACAGGAGAAAGAGACTTGAACCCAGATCCCCTGAACTCTCGATAGACACTTTATGATTGCCCCACTACAGTACCACAAGAAATAAAAGGGGCAGAACATGAAACAGTGACTTTATTATGAAGAATTATAACTAACATTTCAAGAATGATATTTGCTAAAATCTTATTAATGAATGTAACATATGTGTAACAGAGACCCTTTAATATCATGGTTTACAATAACATATATGTAACAGAGCTCCTTTTAATATCATGGTTTACAATAACATATATGTAACGTAGCTCCCTTTAATATCATGGTTTACAATAACATATATGTAACAGAGATCCCTTTAATATCATGGTTTACAATAACATATATGTAACATAGCTCCTTTTAATATCATGGTTTACAATAACATATATGTAACAGAGCTCCCTTTAATATCATATTTACATCTAACCTTCAAGTCAGAGACAACTCAATACTCACTTACAGTGCTATGGGGATTTAGCTAAAGTTAATCACCTCCCAGACAAGTGATCAGCTGTTAACCATTGGGACATAATCATGTTTCCTATATATACACATATATACATTGTATATGTATTTTAGTATAAAACAAAATTAACTCTTTGTCTCCGACCTTGAAGATAATAAACGTAATTAATGTGGGGACTCAAAATGGTGTTATGGCAGCAGACATCACTATCTTGATGTACACATACATTGTTATTTTCCACAGTAAATCGGTTTGGAGACCTATATTTGCTATGAAAAAATAATATGTAAAGGATCTGTCATAAATAATTCACTTCATATTAGATTTTTAATATAAGCTTAGGATTTTTCTGGCGAGCAAATATGAAAAATCCAAAACGAGTATCATTAATCTAATATGAATGGAATCGAATGAGATTCTTTTTATCATACAATACAAAGTAAACTGTATAATTGTGATCTGAACTGAATAATATGCACTTGGCCGCCTCTGAAACGATGAAAATTGTGTCCGCTTCACAATGACGTGACGTCACATTGATTGTTGCTATTCGATTGTGACTTCATTTCCCAAGTGATATTATACACGTTACATAAACATGATTTGTGTGATGGCTTTATGACACTGCATAACAGGGTATTCATATGATAAATAGAGGTTACACAACAAGTGATTGTTGAATATGGTATTTATTTCACTCGAGTTAGTTAATTTTGTCTTTTGTCTAAGAGTGTCTTTCTGTAACTTTTGAAAATTAACTGACGAGAGTGAAATAAATCCCATACTCAACAACCACGAGTTGTGTGATCTGTTTCTACCACAATCTCATGATCAGTCGGAAATAACATACACACATGTGTTTGTAGACAAGGCTGGCATGTAAAAAGTCGCTCATTAATATTCAAAAATGACTTTTTTTTTTACAAATTTAATTGTCAAAATTAATGTTTCGGCAACAACTTCGTGAAAATATAAAATAAATGAACGACTTTAAATATTGAGAGTAGCAGTATTGCATTAATTTATATAAATTAACCACGGACTATATGCACGTAAGCATATCGTACGAAGTCTGCCTCCCACCAAGTGATGAACCGTTGTAGACGAACTTATCGCTGTCAATATCCAAAACCATAGGCCTACGTTTTCCGTGACGGTTCTATGGTTGACGTTTATAGTGAAAGTTCAGCCATGGTCAGACCGTCTAAATAGCGATAACGGGACGCTGGGAGAACGAAATATTTCCCAACACTGTGACAGCTCTTGTTTTGGTTTCATGACCTGGACATGCGACGGTGTGACGTCGAAACGATATCGAGCGTCTGTAGCAATTGTGCCTGAAACTAGCGATCAAATCTTTAAGTATCATCTTTTAATATTGCCTTAATAATCCCCCCCTTTCCACATAACCTCACAAAGTCACCAACAATTGTCGGATGTTGACAGCCTATGACGTCAACAAAACAGCAGGTGGCAAAAAGCATGTGGAAAAAGTCTTTCCGGTCAAAGTTTATCTTCTCGACCAATCAAAACTCTTGAAGGTCATATACCACGTGTGGTATATAACTCATATTTATCTAACAGTCTGCGTGTTTATACAATGATCTGAGAGTGGAATAACACAGCGCATTGTGGTAGAAACATCTTTCCACTGATACATGTATTAAAAACACAAAACTGTAATAATACTTCTACTTGAACATTTGACCCCTTGTCTGCTAGGGTTGCAACGATATATCGTGCCACAATATATCGCAATATTTTGAATACGGTACACAACATTTTTTGGGAGCTTACGATACACCTACAATATTTTCAGGATTTAGTTGTTTCTGAATTAAGTCATATCAATTCCAACATGGAGAGTGACATCTCATGCTTGACACGCACATTAACTCATTCACCCCTTAAGTTTCATAATGAACTATTCTAACCTTTGATTTGGAATAGTTCAAATGTGTCAACAGTGATGAATGAGCTAAAAGAAGAGAATTGTGTGAAACTTCAAAGCCATACTGAATTCGGACCAAGTCAATTTCCAGTTGTAATATCGCATTTAAAATTTGCGACATATCTTTTCTCTTTGCTTCTGCTGTTACTATATCGTGATATGTATGGTATGGTCCTATTAATGTATTGTATTGTCGTATTTATGTATCGTTCCATCCCTACTGTCTGCCGTTAAGGCATGGATTGCCATAGCTTCTATCACAGCAGCTAAACAAATCTGTCATCCATATATAGCTAGTTAATTATCTTAAACTCCTAGCTAAACCAGCCTGTCTATTGGTTCAAAATATATTTGTCATTAAAATAACATACAATACACAAGAAGTACAAAAATGTATTTGCATAAATTTTAAGACATTTCTCAAATTTTTCAAAATTTAGCACACTGATTAGAAAAATAAGGATCGTGCGATTTCACATCAATTTGTAGTTCTTATAATTTCTTAGATATAAAGTGACTGCTTAAATTATATTTCTTTTTGATAATATTTTGTAATACAATTTCTTTCACTGATTTAGAATTCTTCATAATTCTTTCGAAGAATTTCAAAAGATGAAGAAGAGTATATATCAAAAGATGGAAACGAATTTAAATAAATTTAAAGACAAAGCGACAGCTAAGAACTACACATTGATTTGCCTGAAACACACAATACACAACATATGTTTAGCTTACTGGTACTATTTAGTGTTAACTCATTTACCCCTGAAATTTCATAATGAACTATTCCAACCTTTTAATAGGAAGAGTACAAATGTGTCTTCAGGGGTGAATGAGTTAATTCCCAAAATACCAAAGAACATGACACCCATGATGCCTGTATGTTCACTGGTGTTGGCAAAATATATGGAATGCTGAAATGTTTGAAGTCTTTTGAATTTTTTAAAACAAATTACTTATGTGACCTGGAACGCTAGTCAAGTTACTATAATTGAACAATCTTGATAGCTTTTTCATCCCGACAAGCAACATGCCAAATGTCATGACCCTATGACTTATAGTTTTGAAGAAAAAGTTGTTGAAAGAGAAAAATAATAAAGGACTGATAAAGCAAACTAGTATATTGAATTGGAATAGTCCAAATGTGTGTTTATGGGTGAATGAGTTAAAGCCACATCAGATTATTTTCAAAGCGGTCACTTGACATTTTAAACCAAAATTACAGATATAGTACATAATATCTGAAGACACAACAGAAACTGATATCAAACCTGGAACTAGAAATTAAGAGTTCTGGGACAGATAACAAGCAGCTGTTTTAGCTCCTACTAAACATCTACAATAAAAATATTTACCGTCTGTGGTAGAAGACAAAATCCAAGGAATATGATGTTTATGGTTTTGAGAGTGTATCAGGATCATCACTGCCTGCCCCTACACACAGAGCAGTGTCAGTGTACCAGGTCACAAGTCAGCTAGACACAGGTCACACTTGATGTCAGCTAGAGGATGAACCCAAACACCTTAATCAACAGTAGAACTCTCCGTGTATTAGTACTCAATAGTCACGCTTTGACACCCCCATACAAACTAAACATCAATTCACTAAGTAATATCACAGATCGGCGCGACAACCTGCTCATAGAAAACCTCCACAGTCCACTACACCTCCGTAACCGTGGCCACAGACAGACAATGAGCCGCTGCTGAGGAGGCATGTCCTCATGCGGCCAGGTCACTGGACCCGATTAATGGGCTGTGGAATGTGGGTCGAGGTCACGCCAGCTACTGCGCAGTCACAGTCGACTGGTGTCCACACTACCCCTACAACAGCTGGACTATAGCCCCAACCATGCTGGAGACACCTCTGCATGTTGCAGTAAGGGTCGGATATATGCCACTATCTGCTAACACATGAGGATCCCCTGTAGTGGCTGCCTTACCTGTAGATCGGAGTACAGTGGCCTAAGTAGGCCAAACCAGGTTAGCCTCCACTGCCAGGTTAGGGGCTCATCGGCCAACGACCTGCCTTCCTCCTGTCTCTCCACCAGCTATCAGGCTACTGAACGCAAACAACACACACTGCCCACATGGGGCGTAATTACAAAACGTTGGACAGTGAGGCTGGGAGAGCTCGATCAATATATATACCTAGACTATACCTGGTCACTCAAACACAGCTAGTATACTGCGTTCCACACAGCTCGCAGGCCCCATCACACCCTTTTTTCTCACTGATAATCAATGACACTGCCAACTGTAGCCTTTGTGTTTTGTATTTGATCTGTCCAGGTTAGAACGATGAGCTTTCTCAATGGGTCTGTTCAAGGTCGGGCTCAAGGTTATACACAGCCCTAAGTGGGACCAATTGAAACCACCACTGCCCTCATATAACCAACCACAAACATGTAGGGGAACAAAGCCGAACTCTAAGTATGGAGAGACATGCTCCACTCCCAGGTCCTGTAATTAATAGTTGTGTGGGTGATGACATGCAATCAAGGATGAGCCCACTTTATCAGCATATCAACATTCAATTAGAATATAAAATGTGATGCGAGAAGTCATCCTGTACAACCCTTACCCTTAACTCATTCACTCCTGAAGACACATGTGGACTCTTCCATTTCAAAGGTTGGAATAGTTCATTATGAAATTTCAGGGGTGAATGAGTTAACTCTTTTACCCGTGAAGACACACTTGAACTCTTCCAATTCAAAGGTTGGAATAGGTTATTATTAAATTGAGTTAACAGGCAGTTTATCAAAGAATTAACAACGCTGTCACTATGAGTTTACAGATGTATCCTGATGTAACAAACCTTTTACAATTTTCTATAAAGACTGATTTTTGTTTTGCCTAGTTAAACAGCCAAATACAGGCTGCTCCCCCTAGCAAGAATGTTCTTTACTTTCCCAAAATGAAGAAAAATGTGGATTATCTTTCGAATTTCAATAATAATAATGCCGTATTTTCCCAACTCATGTTGTAAAATTTACAATGAAAAAAAACCTGACACAAATACAATCCCCAAAGACAAAGTTCAATCCATACCTAACAGAACACCGGGTTTTCATTATTCAGGTAGACAGATCCTAACACAACACTCCATGGGCGTTCATTAGTCAGGTAGACGGATCCTAACACAACACTCCATGGGCGTTCATTAGTCAGGTAGACGGATCCTAACACAACACTCCATGGGCGTTCATTAGTCAGGTAGACGGATCCTAACACAACACTCCATGGGTTTTCATTACAGATACACAGACAAACTATTGATGTTTTGAAATATGTGATTCGTGTTTTAATAGGAGAACATAAATGAAGCAAAGCCCCACCTACATTTGTGTGACTTATGGTGATCATGCATGTTAAAATCTCACAGGTATGTTTTATTCGGAGTTAGCATTTTTTACACGGTTGAGCGAACATGTAATTGTGATATGCTTTCTGAACATACATTGGCACACATCAATTATGTATGCAACATTTCTATATATTTTTCATACATGACAAATTTTTTCATACAATATTTTTACCACAAAAACTTTTACCTGTATTTTGTTCATGCCCTTGATTCAATCCCTGGAGCTCTATGATATTTTTGCAGAAGTTTTTATTTTTTAACGACTCTCCCTTAAGTTAAAATGAAAACTGAGTTTCATGAATAAATTTAAGAAAGATTCCTGTTATCATGCAACAATTATGTATTCTTCAGGGCTAAACCCCTCCTTCCCATAACCCTAGTAGGGTCATGATAATACAATCTTTAAGTCCAGTTGACAAATTCTGTTCATATTCATTATTATATATATCACTTCATCAAACATCAGTTCCTCCCTCAGGGGTCAAACAGACTCAGATTTAACCGTTTGTGACGTATAAAAATATGAAAATATAAAATGGAAATAAAAATGGTGTTATTGCCCATCATTTCTTATTGTCATACTGCATTCCCTAATGAGCACTGTTGAATACCATTAAGGTATCCACCCCGGGATCCCTACTGCCACTATGGCACGGACTTCCTTGCAGGGACGTCGGGTCTCCACCCCCTTGTTATTACTTTTTGTGACTTTGAGACTTTTTCTAAATTCAACACAATTTAACTGTGACATTTTGTGAATCCAGTGCAGATGATTGTTTTTTGAAAGATTGTAACAAGTACCCCCTTTTGACCGCCTATAAGCCCTGGCATCCTGAAAGAGTACAATAATCTCTATTTTAACAACTTCCCTACCAAGTTAAATCAATGCCACTTATCTGTTTCTGAGACACGATATAAACAACATTTTCTGATTCATATTGTAGATGTATTTTAAAACTAACATTTTAACTTCAGTACAATGCTGTAAAAGTAAATTGAACCAAAAACAATAGCGTGCGGCTCTGCCTTAGCTAAACACACCTACAAAGTTATGACAAAATCAGATTCGAATGGACTCTTAATTCATTGAAATATGAGCAGAATATTTACTTAACCATTAGATGTAATGGTAACGTGTCATGGCCAAATATATAAAGCATTTCCTACTGATCTGGCTAAGTTATGGCTAGCTATATTATAGTGTGAGGATATTTGATGAAATTTCAAATTTACAAACTGGAGTTTTCTCGGTGGAATACATGTTGGAGTGCGATGCTGTCAAATGTTTGGCGGTAAGGTTCGACGGCCACACACACAAGCCACTGATACGACCTGGCTAGGTCATAATGTAGTGTTTTGATGAAAGCCGTACATTGCTGGCCAGGCTGTCAGAGATTAGAGGGAAGCTCCGAGAGGGCTAACAGGCCAACAGATCTAGGAGCTATGCCAATACTGATAACTACCATGTTTTTTGGTGTATTATTAGAAAAATGTGAGACCTCTGACATCACCAAACCAATCTACTATCTGGAGCATGTTCATAGGGGTAACTCTCCTCCTCTAGATGTGTATACACTGTCCCTCCACTACTATAACTTATATACAGAGACATGTATACAGCAATACATGTACATAGGGGTTTTACTGAGCGTTCTGTAACTCTCCTCCTCTAGATGTGTATACACTGTCCCTCCACTACTATAACTCATATACAGAGACATGTATACAGCAATACATGTACATAGGGGTTTTACTGAGCGTTCTGTAACTCTCCTCCTCTAGATGTGTATACACTGTCCCTCCACTACTATAACTCATATACAGAGACATGTATACAGCAATACATGTACATAGGGGTTTTACTGAGCGTTCTGTAACTCTCCTCCTCTAGATGTGTATACACTGTCCCTCCACTACTATAACTCATATACAGAGACATGTATACAGCAATACATGTACATAGGGGTTTTACTGAGCGTTCTGTAACTCTCCTCCTCTAGATGTGTATACACTGTCCCTCCACTACTATAACTCATATACAGAGACATGTATACAGCAATACATGTACATAGGGGTTTTACTGAGCGTTCTGTAACTCTCCTCCTCTAGATGTGTATACACTGTCCCTCCACTACTATAACTCATATACAGAGACATGTATACAGCAATACATGTACATAGGGGTTTTACTGAGCGTTCTGTAACTCTCCTCCTCTAGATGTGTATACACTGTCCCTCCACTACTATAACTCATATACAGAGACATGTATACAGCAATACATGTACATAGGGGTTTTACTGAGCGTTCTGTAACTCTCCTCCTCTAGATGTGTATACACTGTCCCTCCACTACTATAACTCATATACAGAGACATGTATACAGCAATACATGTACATAGGGGTTTTACTGAGCGTTCTGTAACTCTCCTCCTCTAGATGTGTATACACTGTCCCTCCACTACTATAACTCATATACAGAGACATGTATACAGCAATACATGTACATAGGGGTTTTACTGAGCGTTCTGTAACTCTCCTCCTCTAGATGTGTATACACTGTCCCTCCACTACTATAACTCATATACAGAGACATGTATACAGCAATACATGTACATAGGGGTTTTACTGAGCGTTCTGTAACTCTCCTCCTCTAGATGTGTATACACTGTCCCTCCACTACTATAACTCATATACAGAGACATGTATACAGCAATACATGTACATAGGGGTTTTACTGAGCGTTCTGTAACTCTCCTCCTCTAGATGTGTATACACTGTCCCTCCACTACTATAACTCATATACAGAGACATGTATACAGCAATACATGTACATAGGGGTTTTACTGAGCGTTCTGTAACTCTCCTCCTCTAGATGTGTATACACTGTCCCTCCACTACTATAACTCATATACAGAGACATGTATACAGCAATACATGTACATAGGGGTTTTACTGAGCGTTCTGTAACTCTCCTCCTCTAGATGTGTATACACTGTCCCTCCACTACTATAACTCATATACAGAGACATGTATACAGCAATACATGTACATAGGGGTTTTACTGAGCGTTCTGTAACTCTCCTCCTCTAGATGTGTATACACTGTCCCTCCACTACTATAACTCATATACAGAGACATGTATACAGCAATACATGTACATAGGGGTTTTACTGAGCGTTCTGTAACTCTCCTCCTCTAGATGTGTATACACTGTCCCTCCACTACTATAACTCATATACAGAGACATGTATACAGCAATACATGTACATAGGGGTTTTACTGAGCGTTCTGTAACTCTCCTCCTCTAGATGTGTATACACTGTCCCTCCACTACTATAACTCATATACAGAGACATGTATACAGCAATACATGTACATAGGGGTTTTACTGAGCGTTCTGTAACTCTCCTCCTCTAGATGTGTATACACTGTCCCTCCACTACTATAACTCATATACAGAGACATGTATACAGCAATACATGTACATAGGGGTTTTACTGAGCGTTCTGTAACTCTCCTCCTCTAGATGTGTATACACTGTCCCTCCACTACTATAACTCATATACAGAGACATGTATACAGCAATACATGTACATAGGGGTTTTACTGAGCGTTCTGTAACTCTCCTCCTCTAGATGTGTATACACTGTCCCTCCACTACTATAACTCATATACAGAGACATGTATACAGCAATACATGTACATAGGGGTTTTACTGAGCGTTCTGTAACTCTCCTCCTCTAGATGTGTATACACTGTCCCTCCACTACTATAACTCATATACAGAGACATGTATACAGCAATACATGTACATAGGGGTTTTACTGAGCGTTCTGTAACTCTCCTCCTCTAGATGTGTATACACTGTCCCTCCACTACTATAACTCATATACAGAGACATGTATACAGCAATACATGTACATAGGGGTTTTACTGAGCGTTCTGTA